TCCCTGCACCTACCCTATGGGCGACGTGGGGGCGAGGGGCTATTTTTTGAGCAGAAACATTTTAGGCCGTTGTACGCTACCCAGAGGCACCTGGTGGTTGGCTGTTGCGCCCCACTCTTTAGGAAGGTCATCCTGGTTGCCCATGCGCTGCAGAACGGCGACGAGTATACCTCGCAGCAGAGGAAGCAGTGGTGGCGGGACCTCATAGGGATCTGCCATACATGGAAAGTACAGTTGGCCTTCCTGGACGCGAATGCCAGGCTTGGCAGCATTGTGTCTGAGGCAGTGGGAAGCGAAGGGTTCAGGCAAGACGAGGACGAATCGGGCGGGCTGTTTCATGACATGCTTCTGGAGACGGGCTTAGCCGCGGCCAACACGTTAGTTCCCTCTCTCAGCCAGGACTCGTACACGTTCGTCTCGTCGAAGTCTGAAACACCACACAGAATAGACTACATTGCGGTTGAGCAGGATATGATTCCCGCATTGGGGCAACATCAAGTACGATATGATATTGATTCCTTTTGCACTGGCAAGGACCATTATCCTGTCTTCATGCGCTTCGAGTCCCAGGGCTCCACCAAAGCAGCGCAACAACAGAGCGGCTACGACGCTAGGGGCACCCAGGACCCTGATAAGGCAGCAGCCTTCAGGATGCACCTGGCAGCGTTTCCCACGGTGCCTCACCAGGTCGACATGAATCAGCACTTGCACGACATCATTCAATACATGTACGTGGGTGCACAAGCTTGCTTCCCTAAACCCGCGCGTACTCCGATCAAGCCATATGTTTCAGAGGCTCTTCTGGAAATTATCATCTTCAGGAGGCAAGTACGGCAGGCGTGGCGTCTCTGGGGTAAGCAGGACTCTGGTGGGGTCAGGAGGCTGGTCGCCGCGGCTCTGGAGGCGGGGGCCCCCCAGAACATCGCCGATCTCGAGCTGGACCTCCTGGTTTCAGAGCTTTTCCAGGCTTTCGCTGAGTGGGATAAGCAGATCCTGGCGGCAAGCGAGCTAGCCGCACACATGCTTGAGTTTCTGGTCAAGTCGAAGCCGGCCCTGAGAAGGGCCTTGAAGCTCTCGCGCAACAAGCTGCTAGATAACCTCGCGCAGCAGTTGTGCAACGCTAGGTCCTCAAACGAGAGTGGAGTGGAGTGGAGAGTGCTATGCCAGCTGCAATGGTTTGGGGGAAAGCGCTCCAAGTTCCAGGTCGAGGGGCTTAGAATCCGACGAGGTTCTCAGGGCGAGGTTCTGGCCACTTCTGGAGATCTCTCGGAGGCCCTCGCTGACTATTTCGCTGTAGTTGAGAATGGGCAGGCACTCAGCTGGGAAGAACTGGTTGAGAGATACAACGCCCTCCCTGAGCGTGGAAATGTATATCCCAGGGAGTTGGACATGATCACCCCCTTCCGCAGGCTCAAGCACGACATCATGAAGGCAGCCAAGAGGAGAGGTGCTGGGCCTGACGGGCTAAGCAATGATCTTTTCCAGGTCGCTCCGCAAGAATGCACGCAGATATTGTTGCCGTTGTTCGTGAAAGTTGACATGGCGTCCAGGGAGCCCCTGCTGTTCAAAGGAGGCTGGCAATGTGATCTACGCAAATCTGGGTCCCCCGAACCCCTGGAGCACTACAGAGGCATCCTGCTGGGATGCCACACGGCGAAGTTGCACCATGCCTTCCTCAGGAGTAAACTTCTAGAGGCAACGATGAACATGCTGTCGGTGGTCCAGCAGGGAGCTCTCCCTCAGCGCGGCACTGACATTGCATCCTTGCATCTTCGGTCGGCCATGTTGGCTGCCAAGGCTAGGAAGCGCACATACTTGGCGTTGTACACCGATCTAAAGGCGGCATTCTATTCGGTCATCCGAGGGTTCGTTGCCAGAATGGCCCAGGACAGTGAGGACATTCAGAACGCGCTGGCGGGCTTGGAGATACCTAGTTGTCTGGAGCCTCTGTGCCATGCCCTAGTCGCCAAGCCTGGAGCCCTGGGCGGACTGGGAAGTAAGCACCTTCTGCAAGCAGTGGTTGACGTGATGGAATGCAATTGGTTCCAAGTGCGGGGGAGTACCAGGGTCGTCTCCCCCCGCCTAGGTACGAGGCCAGGCATGCCACTTGCAGACCTCCTGTTCATCATAGCCTTCGACCCAATCATCATCGCGGTCAACAGTAGATTAGCATCCCTGGGGTATCTTCAGAGGACTAAGGATGTGGTCGAGGATTTTCAGAGGTCGCGAACACGAGCATGTAGAGGAAGACGTATGGGATCCTGCCTTCATGGATGACCTCGTCAACGGCATCGAGCTGTTAGACGCTAGGCTCTGGAAGGAGGCGGCCATCGCCCTCGTCACGATCATGTACGAAGAAACCAAGTCTAGGGGGTTCACCATGAACTGGAAGGCGGGCAAGACGGGGCTCATGGCCTTCTTCAGCGGCACAGGTTCCAGGAAGGCACGAGGGGAGTGTGCAGCCTTGGCTGCCACTGGTCTTCTCGTCCCTTCCTTAGGTGTCTCCCTGTGCCTCACTAGAACCTACAAACACTTGGGAAGTTATCAGGACCATCAAATTTCTCTGGGACCTGAGCTGGCGCACCGTTGTCATCAGCAGCGACGTCCCCTAGGGGTACTGAGGCGCACTGTTTTCCCCAGGAAGCAAGTCAATTTAAGGGCCAAGCTAATTTTTGTTACGTCTTTGTGCACGTCGCACCTTTTGTTTACTGCCCTCACCTGGCACAAGTTAAACGTGAAACAGATGGCGACCCTGGCGCACAACTATTTGAGCCCGTTTAGATTGGCGGCTGGGCTTGGGTACGATTCTGGCTCTGGTAAGGTTGCTGCAGACCATAGAGTTTTTGTCAAATGTGAGATCATGCCCGTCGAGCTGGTACTGAGGCTCAGGCGGCTGCGATTTCTTCCCAGGCTTCTCAAATCGGCGCCTGCGTGTCTGCTGGCGATCCTGGACGAGTTAGCCTCAGTGCCTGAATCATGGTCCGCATTGTGTTGCGATGACCTGATGTGGCTCAGCAGACACGTGAATCTGGACAGGGCATTCTTACCGTCAGGGCCCCCTGCTTGGTGGCTGTGGCTCCTGAGGTCTAGCAGCAAGTTTTGGAAGCGAATTTGCAAGCGAGCAGAATCGGCTGCCAGGGCCAAATCTTTGGACGATCAGCGTCACGAAGAATTCAAAGACGGGTGGCGAAAGTGTTGCATCGCAAAGGGTCTTGCGCTCCCGTCGTTTCTGCGTCCGCCGTCGGTTCTCGCCTTGTATCCCTGCTTGGATTGTGAGGCGGTGTTGGCCACCAAGGGCGCATGGGCCTCCCATCGCTCGAAGTGCCACCCCCATCTAGACCCCGCCCCCAGCTACGTTTCAGGTACTGTGTGCATGGCTTGCGGTCTCAACTTCCACACGCATCTTAGATTGCTCTAACACGTTCGGCATGGCTCATCGAAGTGCCTGGCGGACCTTATGGCTGTCATCGCACCGCTGAGCCCCGAACAACTGATGGCGGCTAAGGCGGAGGACGCGGAGCTAGCACGCGCGCTCCGAGAGAAAGGCCACTACGCGGAGTCTGCGCAGCTCCCGCCTGTCCTCACGATGGGACCTAGGCTGAGGGGAGCGGCTGCCTCCAAGGGCCTTCCCACTTGCATGCCGAGAATTTCGTGCCAACCAGTATGCATCCAGGAAGAGATGCCCACGCAGGCAGAGGTCCACATGCCTGTGGCCCAAGATCCGACTTGTTCGTGCTGCCGAGGCAGTGGCTCGAGCGAAAACGAACCGATCCCACCCGCGCCGCTCCCGAGATCGCCTCGAAAACCTCGCCAAAGTCGGGGCGCGCCTCTAGCGTTTCGGCCGATCCCAGCGAAGGCGTCGGGCGAGAGAACGGCACTTGGTCGATCCTCGGGATGACAACCTTACACTGGGAACGCCTCCGACGACCAACAAACGGCTCAAATCTGTGAGAGCCCGAGCTGATCGCGGCCGCAAATTTCGATGGCTTCCGACAGCACGTGCACGGGGCCCGTGCGCCGTCCCAAAGTTCAACCTGAACGCGCTTCTGCTGCTGTCGCATGCCACAAGTCGGTCCGAGGGGGAGGACCAGAAACGCACCGGCCCCGGGTCCACTGGGCCGCCTTCCCCGCAAAGACATCAGCGCTGGCGCCACCCTGGCACATGAAAATCTCGAAAGCCGAGTTGACAGACTGCAGGAATTCCTCCGTGTGGCACGGGGTCCATAGCAGAGAGACATCCCCAGGGCCACAGGCGGCCAGGGCACGAACGGCGCGGACCCACAGGTCCCCGCTCTGACCCCTGGTAGATTTCTCGCGACCCGAGTGTCAATTCGAACTCAACTGATGCAGCCCGTTGCATAGCAAACTGGGCCCCTCGAGATTTCGAGGGCAGACAGAAAGCCTGCAACTCTGACTTAAGAACACTCTGCTTCTCACCCGAAAAAATCTGCGCGACTCCGAGCCACTGCAACGGAGCTAAAAGATCTTGGCGCATTGCAGCCACCGCAGAGCCACATGTCCTTCGACTGGTATCAGCACTGAAGGGCCTCCACAGCCATCTCCGAAAATGGAAAGAGGAGGGCCTCCTGGTTCCGAGCGCAGATCATATATTGCCCCCAATCATCCGGGGACCTCCTGGGCACCCCCAGGGAGCTCGAGGAAATCAGGCATCACGAGACCCTTAGAGGGCACACATCGCGACCACAAAGCCCGCTGAGCCCCGAGGCCCGCGGGGGACTGGGGAAGAAGAAAATCAGTTGTCACGAAATCGTCGCGCCCGCAATTGGCTGGGCACGACCATGCTCTGTGAGGGGGGGGGGGGCCCAGCGCCCTGCCTACAGCGAGGGCGCAGCGGCGAGCCCTCATACCCTGCCTCGCGCTGCCTATCACGCGCCCACTGGCCGCCCGAGATGACGGCGAGGTCGGCTGTCCACTCGTCGAACTCCGCCCTCTTCACGAAGCGGCCCAGCTCGATGCGCACGGTCGTCAAATCCCACCACCTGACAGGTCCTCGCCAGCATTGTGCCAGGCGGCCTGCTGGCACTGCTTGCACAAGCGGTCACCCATGACGGCGCCGAGCATGTCCTCGAAATGGGCGGGGGGCGCCGCGGCGAACTGCTCGCCGCCGAAGCTCGGGAAGATCCACCCGTCAATCGCGCCATGTAACAGGGGTCGACTAGGGAAGGGACCAGACCTTAGGCGACTGCGGGTCCCACCCCGCCTGGTTGAGCGTCGCCTGCAGCGCGGCAAAAGACCAACGAACATCTCTCTACCTGACCGCCGATCCCTAGCGCAGCTACCCGAAGACCTGCGGCCAGGCCTTGAAGATCCTGGGATGCAGCGCTGGCTGAGCCAGCCAGAGGGCGACCCACTCCTTGAGCAGCTGCCCCCTCATGTCGATGCCACGGCCAGCCACTCCGTACACCGCCTGCAGCACCGTCGCCAAGCAGCAACGGCCGTGCTCGGCCCCCGCGGCACTAGCCGCAGCAACACGGCGCACCGACAGCAGCGTCGAAGACGGAGGCGGGCAAGACGCCCGTGCTGAACAGCCACTTCGCAACGAACGTGCTCTGAAGGCAAGCGCCTCATACGCATCACGAGCCCGACGCTCGATCATGCGCACCGTGGCCCTCTTGCGCCCAGCAGCGTTGTCCGAGCCCAGGTCGACCGTGGCGCGAACGCACTGCACAATAATGCCGTTCTTGACGAGGCGCCGCTCAAACTCCACCCCGAGCTCGTCGGAGCTCGCGACCAGCTTTGTCTCGCCTGGGACCCTCAGCCGCAGACGCCTTAGCCCAACGGCCATCGCGTCCGCGGTCTTGTCGAGGTCCTCGATCACCCGAAGTTTCGTGCACTCGGTCATGCCCACGATGTCGTCGATGTAGCTTTACAGACCTGCAGGCGGGCAAGCTCGGCGGACATTATGGAAAAGCAGCTGGTGCAGTATAGCCTCGGCCAGAGGGACGCCGTGCCCTGAGCCAGCAACGATCGATCGAGAAACGACCACCTCATCAAAGATCATCCAGCCCTTCTTCAGCAGCCACGGGGAAGCATTCTGGCCCACTTCCAACACCATGATGATCGCAAAACACCCAGTCTCGCCGGCCTGCACCAACGACACGAAGCTCACCGAATCATCAAGCTTGGTCAAATCCCAGCGTAGCGCTGCATATTCAAAGTCCCGCTGCCGAGCATCCTCGTCCATCACAGCACGGATGAGGGTCGCCCTCGAAGCTGATGGCCCAGCGATCGCGGTGTCTCAGAAAGCCGACATGGAGGACGACGTGGAGGGGAGGAGGAGGAGGAGGAGGAGGAAAAGGAGGAGAAGGATGAGGAGGAGGAATACTGCGAAGGGAGAAAGAAATGGCGAACAGGGGCGTGGAGAAAGAAGGGCAGAGGATAGAGGAGGGAGGGGCAACGTGTAGGAAAACAACCGGGTATCGAGCTATCCGGCAATGGCGTCGTTACGAACATGGCACCACCTGCCTCACGCCAGGCTGAGCACACCATTGCGACATCGAACCAAACACGAATGCATATACCGTGTTGACATATCCACAACGCCCGTCTCAAAAACTGCAGATGTGACGTAGGAGATCGCGACATGCAGTACACACCATGTTCCCCAGCTCGATTGTCAGGGTGGCC